AAAAAAAAAAAAAAAAAAAAAAGTAGCTAAAAAAATATTTTAAGACTATTTTTTTTATGGTTTATTGTCCTGTGCCCTCTGTGTCCTCTCTTCATTAAAAGGAATATAAAGTGGGTTTTGTATATATTTTATTAATTATGCTGAGGACTGAGGTTGAGATTTTTTTAAACCACTTTCTCCTTTTCATTCGTGTAAAATTAAATGTTATATACTAATGTTTTTATTTGAACAATAAAAAAAGCCCCCTGCATACTTTTACACCTGTAGCTCTATTTGCAGACCATTTAAAAAAATGTTGTGTACAGATTCTGAAAATACAATTCACATGAAAGTAAATGGCTGGTGCCATTGACTCAGCAGTGACTCCAATATGCCAAGGCTCAGTCTGTGGTTTCATTAAAGGAGAGGTTTAAAGCAAGTAGCTTCTGTTGTACTGCTTCTTTAGGTAACCCATGGTGATGTGGGAATTCTATGTCATGCATTAAAATGTTCAAAAAAACCACAAAAATTAAATGAAAACCAGACCATCCGTGCACAGATCCCTTTCTGATCAGAGCAGTACGGATCGGATGTCACCGCTGTGACATCCATGTCCCTACAGTGTTTTCCTCCAAACGGAAACTACAGGATCCGATCGGGCGTGATCCGGTCCGTCAAAACGGAACACTGTTCGGTCTGGTTTTTTTCCAGACACAGCTGGAGCTGGGGGTAACCGGGTATAAATGGACGATCGTCCGTTTACACATGGCTGCCCATAGACTTGCATTGGGCATCCGATCGGGTCCGCCTAAACAACTGACAGGCAGACCCGATCAGAGCGGTTGTCTCAAAGGGGGCCTTAGAATTTCCTTTTACATAAAGATAATTGTTGGGGACACAAATTACTACAGGTATTTATATAGTGCCGCCACGTTTATGCATCACTTTACATACTGCACATTCACATAAGTCCCTGCCCTCAAGGAGCTTACAATGTATTTCTCATGCATACAGGTCTGCTTGTCCTGTAGTATTTCTGCATTTGGGTGTGTCAAAATCCTGTAATTGGTGTCCATTCAAAAATTTGTTGTGTAGCCGTTTCAAGAGACCGAAAATGTTGTTAATTCTACATATCTGTACTGATTTGTTAGAGGTTTCAAATTGTTAATGGGAAGCCAATTAACCTTCCCGCATGTCTTTGAAGTGTGGGAGGAAACCAGAGTACCCGGAGGAAAACCACGCAAGCACAACCAGCAACCCCCCAGTGCTGCAAAGCAGAAGTGCTAACCACTAAGCCACTGTGCTGCCAATCACTTCCATGTCTGCACTTCTAGATGTGCACATGGGGGTAGTTATATTTGTTCATTACATACACAGGATCTGTGTCCGGTTTTGCGGTACAATAGTGTACTTTTACTGCAATCCAAGCCTATGGGTTTATTGAAAACAACACACTGTGGATAGGTTTGCTTGATGAGGATGGTTAAGCTTCTCTGCCTCTAGCAAATCTTTAGCTACACATCTCTGCTTTTAATACAGTAACAGAAGCATTGATATGCAATGCCGTGTCAAAAATTACTATAAAAAAGGTAAACATACTAGTTATAATCCAAGATGTGCATTTACTGAAAATAACCAGACATTCCCTTTAAATCAGCCCTGAACTTAAAAAGTGAAGGTTTGCCATGTTATAGGGTACATCTAGAGATAGTAATTGGGCCTATGCAGTACCCTTGGGCGGGGGGAATGTAACTATTGTTTTGATTGCCTCCAGAAAAATAGCAGTGCAATCCCTGTGCCTACATCTGTAGTGCGAGATCATCTAAGCCACTGCTGCTTCTAACAGCCAGCCTTCTAAAATTTCAAATGAGATTTGGTGATGTCACTAGTGTGCGGCTTAATGCTTTCCTTCCTGAAGAGGAAGCTCCACGCTTCATTCATTGTGCGGATCTTTTTCTTTTTTTATGCTACCTCTGCCCCACTAGTCATCAGGAAGGGAGCTATGACATTTAGAAGTAAAGCCCTGCCTCTACCAAGATGTCCAACTACACACAGGCACAGTACAGAACAAGGCATTAGAAGTCCATACTGCCAAAAAAAAAGCTGAATACTGGTGAATAGGTTTTTGCCCTCTGCCTGCGTTTTTTGGGCACAACATTCATAATACAGGTCCTCTTTAATGGAACCGGGCACTTTATGTTGTGAATTAGACTTTCCCCAACAGCTGTAGGAATACAGATGGCCTATTACTGATCTATACATACCTACGAATACATGGGGTAAGTGAAGATTGAGAATTATGAGCCAATACTGGAACCAGAGTGAGCTATGGCAGATAAAATACTTATAGTATAAATTGTAAAAAATTGTGCTAATTATATTTATTTCATGTGAATAACAATGAATATAAGAAGATAGTCCCAGTGTTGGTGGATACTAATTACGGATGACATGATTGCTAATAAATGCTTGCAAATACAACCAGCAGATGCTGCGAACTGTTAGGAAAAATGGAGTAACGTGCTAATAAATGCTTACAAAAGCAAAGAATTACACTTAGCCACTGATACTAGTGAATGGTAATGAAAACTAATAAGGAATAAAAAAAAAACAAAAAAAAAAAAACGTTAGTAATAACGGCCCTAAGAAAGAACACTGTGGGCTAATTAGTGTTACTAGTGGCTGGTTACTGCCAAACACAAATTACTCAGGATGGCTAATTATAGAATATGGAAATAAGCTAAACTAAGAAAGGAGGGACAGCCGACGCTGATGTGTGTTAACATGTGCAGTTTTATCAACAAAGAATGGGATTGGTAAGGAGAACGTCTGTATCTTAATGATTCAGGATGGCGGGTAATTAAAAAGGGAAAGTCTAATGACTTTTGGTCAATTTTATTGTAAAGCTCATCTCTGGGCATTGCAAAAAAAAAAAAATGATTCCCTTTCTTTCTCACACCACTTTTAAAAAAAAAAAAAAAAAGTCTCCAAATACTGACCCAAAAGAGCGGTCACGTGACAGTCTTGGTCAATTTCTTCCTTTTCCTTTAAAGTGTGTCTTCCTAGTGACATAGGTATTGCCTATTGGCTGCTGACGTTGGCCATCATTTGGTTCCTCACAGGGTCCTTTAGTCTTAAAAAAACATTTGTTGTGGCATCACGAGGGGGTGGCAACAAGAACAATCAGAACAGTGGCGAGAAGCACGAAATCACCCGGCCCCAAGGACCAGAAAGGGTCCTGGAGGGTCACATGACTGCAGATTCAGGTAAGGTATTATAAAAGACAGGTCAGATTGGTGCAGGTAGTAGGGGGCAACATTTTTATTTGATGGGCTTTAGAACCTGAAAACGTATATATATATATTTTTTGATATCCATTGTAAAAATAAATATGCAATACACGGTTCACTCATTTGCAAAGCTGTTGGGGTGTTAACAACGACGGACAGCCCAGCAATGCCCATGCGCTTGCTGACAACTTCTGCATAATTGACAAAACCAAAAAGTTCCATCTCTGCTAGGAGAGAGGAAGGGGTGCGCCCTTCAGCAGTCATTCAGTAGCGAGAGCACAGCCAAAAATGCTGGGCTTTGGGCTCCCTCTATCTAATTAAAACTTCCCATGGAGCAGCGTATACACAGCACTGACTCATTCGGTTATGCATGTAAATCTCAGCTTGAGCTGTTAATCTTTGAAAAACAAAAAACTTTTCCAGCAAAGCAGATAAAGACAGACAGGGAAACAGGAGAAAAAGCGCCTATAGCTCCACCTGCTGCCTGAAGAGAATAGTACAAAATATTCATGCAAATGTTTTCATATTTACTGCAGCAAAATAAAAAAAAAAGTATATATATCTAGATAGATATATATAGATAGATATATATATACACACACACACACACACACACACACATCTATAGATCTATCTATATCTATATATAAAAAAATCAGTTTTTCAGTCCTGACCATAATAAATATAATATATAATTGTCTAATAATTTTTAACTCCAATTAGCTCTTATTAATTCATTACTTCCGCTTTTTTTATAATTAAATTTTTATTTTGCCATTCATAAATAAAAATTTTTATGTTTTGCTTTATTTTTGTTGTGACATGATTTAAACAAATGAGCTCACATGCTCATTATAACTGAACTACACTGGTTTAACCACGCCTACTGGGCCATGCCCATTGCAACACCCCAACCCCAATCCAGTTTTCTCTGGACCAGAAAGGGGCAACCCTAAAGAATAACCAGCGACAAGGGGACAATACTACTGCGTGCTTGCACTCAAAGTTTGATGGCTGTTCACACAGGTAGAAAAGTACAGAGTCACTTTAAATCTAAAGATGTTTTGGGGCTTACAGCAAACAAAATAAGAAGTTGGAATGACAGGCAACATATCATCATTTAAAGAAAACTGACAGATTTTAGAACAGCTGTTAAAACTGCCCTGTGTAAATATTCACAAAAATGTAAATGCTCCCCACTCAAAATCCGAACCAGAAATCTTTATGGGGAAAAAAAAAAAGGGAAGGAGCAATACGGGATAGTAGACAGCGAGATGAGCATTGTAAATCCTGCGTTTCAGCCTCAGTGAAAACTTGTGATGCAAATTTGTGCTAATTGGGAAATTGTTTTGGTTTTAGATGTATATTTATTGGTATTTAAGTAGAAGAATGGAGCTATAAACCCAAAGTACTTTTTTTTTTTTTTTTTTTATACACATAATGTGACAAATACTACTAAAACAGTGAACATTTACAGCTCTTATTTCATAGATATTAGATTTTTTTTCTTTTTTTCTACAGAAAATGTCACTGTATTTCTGGATCATCTCTTCACACTCAACATCTGCTGAGCCAACGCTACATGATAATCGCATCCAACGCCAAAATGATTAAAACCCGGCGGTTTTTTTTTTTGGTGTGTGTGTGTTCCATTGGAGAGATATCCCTTCACTTCCTGCTTGGTACATACAAAAGGAAGTAAGAGGAAATCCACCTTAGGTTTTTTTTTTTTTTTAAACCAGTTTCTTCATTAAAGTGATATTAAAGCCAAAGCGTTTCAAGCTTTTTCAGATGCTGATGAAGTCACTTAGAATGACTGCTGCTCCTTGATGTTTAAAAGTTTTTGCTTCCTGCAGAAATCAGCTAGTCTCTTGAACACTAGGCCCTGATATCCCGTTTTAGGGGGGCTCTTTTCCCTTGCAGGGACCTATGGAGCCACCCTTGTATGGGCTAGTAAGCGCTGTGTGTCTCCACAAATACACAGTATCCAACATCAAACTATTTCCTTTTGATGTCAAGAATCTTCAATAAATGAACATTTTGTGATCCTGAAAGGATTTTTGGTGTGCTGGTGACATCTATACGCATCCACAAATACACAGACACAGCAGGGCAAGTCACTCCCCTGCTCCTCTTTTCCTCCAAGCTAGTAGGTGGACAGTCTGCTCTGTCCCTTGTGATCTTGTACTGGGCAGGAAATTCAGGGAAGCTCAACTGAGAGAGTGGGAGCTGTTCAGAAACATGATGACTTTAAGTGATTGGAAATTTTTTTAAAGAAATTTATCAAATCATGAGTCACAAAATACTAAAAAGAGAGAGTTCAGGGTGCCTCCTGTGTATTGTGTTGACAACGGACGATGGGAAGTCATAGTTCTTTGGGTTAAAGAAAAACTATATAAAGAAAATTATTCACACCCGAACTGTTTTTTTCTAGGTGCTAAATAAAAAAAAAAAGTCATATGCTGCCCGGCATTGCCTGATTACCCGGGAAGCCGGCTCCATGCCAGCGGAAGCACCGGTACTCGGTATCAACGAGTACCGAAAGAAAAATGCTGGTACTCGATACCGAAAAACCGGTATCGGTGCATCCCTAACACCCGGTATTATGTTATCATTATTGTTACAATTATAATTTGCTCCAATTATTTTTCCCTGATCTTCAGGCAGGTCTTGTAACACAGCACGGTCCACTTTGCCTTTTTTCTGAGCTGGGCGGCACTTTCTAATGCAGAGAAAGGTGCTGACATGATGATGCAGTGCTACTCTGCATCAGTAAATCAAAGGATTGCGACACCTGTGGACCTATAAGTAAAGCAAATGGCAACTGCACTCATCATTTTGTAACTAGTAAGATGCACAGTCTTCCATGTTGAGCGATGTTGGGTGTCATTCTGGCCGGAGGACATCTTGTGGGGAAGAAGAGGTACTGCAGAGGGCCGCTCCGGTTTGAAAAGGAGTACTGCAACGTATGCCGT